GGGGGCTCTTGGTGGCCAGCCTGACAGCAATCCTGCCATAGACGGCCACATTCCTCCATCTAGGGCTGAGATTATGGAAGTTGGGGGCATCCCCCCCAAACCTGAATAAGGTCCATGATCTCCACCCTGGACCAGGATGGTGCTCGCCTTCTCTTGCCCCCGTCAGGCTCCTGGGAGCTGGCAGACTGCCCCTGGGGAGTTGGGGCTGGAGGAGAGGAGAGGAAGTTTTCCTGGTTGTGCCCAGAGTGGCCACCAGCGCTCCCTGGGAAGGGCTGGAGGCCTCCTAATTTGAAATAAGTGTCTACGCAGCACTTCATTCGAAATAGCTATTTCAAATTTGGCATTACTCCTCGTAGAATGAGGTTTACCAAAGTCGAAATAAGGGCTCCACTAGCAGTTTGCCTGTGTAGATGCTATTAATGTTAATTCGAAATAACTGCTATTTCGAATTAACTTTGTAGTGTAGACATACAAGGAGATTAGAGAGGCCTTAAACAGTTACATCTCAATTGTAATGCGGGATTTCAACTATCCCCATATTGACTGGGGACACGTCACTTCAGGACGGGATAGAAAGTTTCTTGAGACCTTAAACAGCTCTTTCTGGGAACAGCTTTTTCTGGCACCCACGCAGGGAAGGGCCATTCTTGCTCAGTGGAGCACAGGATCTGATCCCAGAGGTGACAACAGCTGCATCGCTTGGGAACAGTGACCATCAGATAATTAGATTTAACATCCCCATGGCAACAAAAACACCTCAGTGCCCCAGCCCTGGGGCATTTAATTTCAGAAAGGGGAATGCCACAACAATGAGGCGGTTAGTTCAACAGAAATTGAAAGTTACAGGGACAAAAGTGAAATTCCTGCAAATTACAGGAAAAATGTTTCAACCCATCACGCTAGAGGGTCAACTTAATGAATAGTCCAAATTAAAAAACATAATAAGAGAGCCAAAAAAAGTGCCGCTCTGGCTCAACAACCAATTACAGTGGCCTGAAGGCACGGTTTAGAAAGTGAAAGTTCACTCCTGCTGAGGAAATCAGAAAGGAGCGTACAGCTCTGGCAAGCAAGGGGTATAAATAGAATGAGGGAGGCCAAAATAGAAACGGAAGAACCGCCAGCCAAAGACTCAGAAAGGATCAGCAATTTTTTTAAGTCCCTCAGAATCAAGAATCCTGCCTCCCATCAGTGAGACAGGCTAAAAGTGAAAGCCCTGCAAGCCACGTGGGAACTTTGTTAAGCACCCTCATAGAGGCTCCACTTCAATGTGTGTGCTAAATTTAAAAAAAAAAAAAGTGAGAGCACTAAAAACGCACCACGGTGGCTAAACAGAAAGTAAAAGCTGCTGGGAGAGGCATGAAAGCCTGGTTTAGAAAGTGGAAGTTAAGCCCCACTGAGGAAAATCGAAAGGAGCATAACCTCTGCACTCTGAAGTGTACTAATACCATGAGAGAGGGCAAAAGAAGTTGGAGAACAGCCAGGCAACGACTCAAAAGGAAATAGCAAAAGAATGTGTCATTTGTCAATTGTCAGAAGCAGGAAGCTGCTAACCAACCAGTGGGGCCGCTGGACAATCGAGATGTGAAAGGATGATAAAGCCATTCCGAGAAACAAAAGGAATTCTTTGCATTGGTCTCCACTGCTGAGGGTGTGTGGGAGATTCCCACCCCTGAACTTTATCTTTCAAGAGACACATCTGAGGAATGCCTTGACTGAGGCAACATTAGAGGAGATGACATCAATAACTCACCAGGAGCAGACAGTATTTCTAAAACAAAAAACAGGATTATGTAGCACTTTAGAGAAGTGCCAGACCCACAAAAGCTCATCACCTGATAAGCCATCTTGTTAGTCTTTAAAGTGCTACATAGTTCTGTTTTTTGTTTCAGCTACACCAGACTAACACGGCTACATTTCTATCAGTATTTCCAAAGGAAATTACAGACCTGCTCGCTGTGGGTTGTAACCTGTTACTTAAATCTCCTTCTGTGCCAGATAACTGGAAGGTAGCGAAGATGATGCCAGTTTTAACAAGGGCTCTAGAGGTGATCCTGGCAATTGCAGACGGGTAAGTCTAACGTGAGTGTCGTGCGAACCGATGGAAATCCCAGTAAAGAGACGTCTTGTCAGACACAGAGATGAACCCGATTTGTTGGGGAAGAGTCAACGTGGTTTTTGTAAAGGGAGATCCTGCCTCACTGATCTACTTGAGTTCTTTGAGGGGGCCAAAAACACATGGACAAGGCAGATCCAGAGGAGATGGTGCACACGATGAGACATGGCAGGAAGGTGCCCGGCCAGGTTTATTGTAAGTGAAGCCCCGTCTCTAGTGCCCTGGAGCAGACATCCAGCAGTAGGGGTCGCCAAATGAAATTAGGAGGTGGAGTGCCCCTGACAATGGACTCCGCCCAGGCAGTGGCTGGGTTTCTGGCTGACCCCTGGGATGGACAAGGGCAGCCCCTCTGAGATCCATGGTTAGACCCGGTTACAGACAAGTTACACCTCACTGCTGACATTTCAGGGTGCTGACATCGTTAGATACCACCCAGTACCTTGTACATGGGGGTTGGACCTAAGCTTCTCTGTCCATCATGCTGTCATGCTGGCCCTGTCCTGAACCAGGGTCAGGGTGTCCCTCTTATCTGTGTGGAGTGTGTTGGTCCCAAGATGTTTCTGAGCCAGGTGTTCTGGTACCACCCCTCTGGATTGTGTTTTCGGCCTGTGCCTGGTACCTCTGAGGTGCGGGTGTTTCTGAAATATCAGCCTGGATCCTGCTGGACTGGGGGAGCCGGGCCTGCCTCTTGCTTAGAGCTCAAGTTTGCTTTGTAGAAGCAAAATTGTGCCTACTTTCAGCTAGGCCTCAGGCCTTACCCCAGGCCTGTGAGGCATGGCCGTGTGTTTCAGGCCCTCTTGTTACTGCAGGTGCAATGCCAACAAAATACTCCCCCTCCCACCAAATAAATGGTGGTGTCACATGGACCATTCATGGAAAAACATTGATTCAGGGTGAAGTGGTGGTGAAAATAAAATTGTATTGAATTTTGGAGGCATTAGGAAAGGGACAGCGAACATGGCAGAAATGTCGGATCACACAGCCTCTGTTGGAAGCCATGAGACGCCCACACCTTGAAAGCTCCATAAACAGGGAATGGGAAAGGGACTGAGAAGGGCAACAGACATGATCAAGGTATGAAACAGCCTTTCTATAAGGAGAGATCAAAGAGACTGGGACTGCTCAGCTCGGAGCAGAGACGATGGGGGGGATATGACAGTGATCTATAGACCCATGACTGGCGTGGAGGAGGTACATAAGGCAGTGGTGCATCCTCCTCTACCTCAGAACACAAGCAGTAGGGGTCGCCAAATGAAATTAGGAGGTGGCAGGTTTCAAACAAGCCAAAGGAGGGATTTCCAGAGGGGAGAGGAAGGCAGGGCCCCCGTGCGGAGCTCCGGCATGAAGCCGACTGATTGGGGCGCTTGGATGCAGGGGGAGGGATGCTCCCAGCTCAGTTCCAGGCTTCCTGCTGTGCTCAGCTACAAGACCTAGCCCTGAGGGCCCCCGTCGCCACCACAATTTTGAAGTAATATGAGGAACTGCAACCGCACATACCAGCTCCCTGCTTCTTGTGCCTAGGGAGTGAGGGGAAGCACAGAGCCTGCTGCCTCCCTCCTCTGCCCCTCCCCTGAGCAGCCCGAAGCGAGAGGATGCAGGAGGCTGGGCACTTTCCCTCACTCCCTAGTCACAGGAAGCAGGAAAAGCGACAGGGAGATGGTATGTGCGGCTTCAGCCTCTTACAGTCCCCGAAATAGAGCCCTTGGCCCCCCCACTCATCACGCCCCACACTTAGCCCCATGTCCTGAATCCTGCACTCTCTGCTTTGAGCCCCCCTGCTCCAGTCTCCTGACCTGAATCTCGAGATCCCATAGTTCAATATCTGTTCCAGTCTGAATATCTTACAGACTGGGATGTAGTCACCTGCTCTTTGTTCAGCTACACGGATCTAGCGCCTGGATCTCTTGGCTCTCGTTACAAGGCAAGTTTTCTAATCCTGCAAAAGGAGGCCCAGAATTCACTTGCCATAAAAGACGATTTTGGGGTCAAAAGGAAACTATTAGTCCTAGTGCACAGAATTCTTCCTCCAGGAAATATCGAAATTCTGGGCCCTGCATCCCCTAAAATTGGCTCTCGCACCTCGGGGCCAGACGGGGACGGCGCAGGAGAATGGGGCTGTTGGCCAGTTCTAGCCCTGAGTGGTCTGTGGTGTGCGGGTTGCAAGCATGTTGCCGGTACCTCAGAAACTCTTCCTCCATGGTGAGATACAAGATGGGACTAAGGCAGCTGTAGAAACACACCGGCGCCAGGACACAAGCCAAGGTGATTTCAGTGTCTTTGTAAGGCACCAAGTACAGAGCTGTAATCCGCAGGAAGTAGAAGACGTGATACGGCAGCCAGCAGAGGAAAAAGGTCGGGATCAAGCAAGGAAGGATCTCGAGGGGCTGGGTGGCCTGGATCAGCCGGTTCCTTCCCAGCCTGGCAGCGAGAACGATGCAGAAGGTTGGGATCAGGCTTAAGGCTAATGGGATCAGAAACCCGGCCAGGAACTGGATTGCGACGGCGGCCTTCACCCTCCCTGAATCCACTGGGAAATTCATGCTGGTGCTGGCAGATGGGACGAGGGATTCCCAGAGGTCACCGTACCGCAAGCTGAACCCAGCCGACAGGGCCCATGTGCCCAAGAAGGCCAGGGAGACCGTGAGGCATTTCTGGGCCCACTCAGGTCGTGTCGCAAGGACACAGCGATGGATGCTCATGGCCGTGAGGAGGAAGGTGCTGGCGAACATGTGCAGGGAGATGATGGTGCTGCTCAGCCTCCTGGCCCAGTCTACATGCGGTAAGTAGATGAAGACAATTCTGAGGGGCACGCAGAGCATGAAGATGAAATTGGACACGGCCTGGTTCAGGAACAACAGGGCGCTGGCCGTCCTCTCCACACGGCAGCCAGCGACGAAGAGGACGTAGCCGTTCAATGGTGCCCCGGTGAGGAAGGCCAAGCCATAGAGCACCAGGAAGAAGACCTGGAGGAACTCCATTCTCGGAGGAGCTGCCGTCACAGTATCACCTCCTTCTTCTCAGGGCTTGGCGGGGGCGGGGCAGATGCTGGGCTGAGGGGAGGAAGGGAGAGCAGTGAAAAGGGCTGCAGGACAGGGACAGAGAGACAGAGGTGGCGTTTATAAACTCCCAGTCTCTGGGCTGAGCTGAGGTGGGATCGAATCCTTGTGGGCCGATGGCCCCAGTGGTACAAAGCCCTTAGAAGCAGCGAACCGCAGGGCGAGCAGGGGACAGAAAGGGTCGATTCAGTGATGTCGCTGCCAAGATGCAGGGTTTGTTTTCTCTGTTCCCAGCCCCAGAGGGTTTGGTTTTACATTGGGGTGGATTTTCCTTCTTTCAACAACCGTAGACAACAAACAAGGCCCCGGGCAGTGCACCAGAGAAAGGGCAGGCCCCTAACACCTTTTGTCTAGTGAAAGGCTGTTGCAAGAAGCAATTTGAACAGCTGGATGGGGAGTCAGGACTCCTGGGTCCATCCCAGACTCTGCCACTGAACTGCTGAGGGAGCTTGGCCAAGTCATGTTACAGCTTTGGGCCTCAGTTTCCCCTCCGAACATTTGCCAGTGCAGCACCCTGTTGAAGCAAAAAAATGTCGAAGCAAAAAACCCTCCTTTCTGTTTAGGCAGCTAACAAACAGCTTTATTAATTAATAAAGCACAGCATGAGCCAAACATGGTCCCAGCAAAGCCAGGCCCAGTAAGGCTGCTAATACAATCAATCCTAGTATCTTTATACCCTTAGCCACACAGTCTGACGTCAGGGCATCCAATTACAGAAATCCTCAATTAAACTTGGAAAAACAAAGCCTTATCAACAAGATGGTGGACAGGTACGAGGGAGTACATCTCCTGTCCCAACCAGCCCAATTAAAACATATTAATAGCCCATCCTGAAGGCCTCTTCTCACGGGGTGACAGAAAGTTCACTCTGGTCTACGTGCTTGAGAGAAAAGCTGAAATGGTTTCTGATATACAAGATGGCTTCTAGCAAAATATGAAAATGGTTTCTACAGCTTCTACAACCCCTTGAGATGGGACCCCTGAGCTCGGACAGTGTCGCTCAACACCCAGCGGGATGGGGGCTCATGACCTCTTACCAAATGACACCCAACTAATGTCAGGCTCGGCTACCAAGTGGGATAGGGGGAGGGATGGATGGGGCAGGATGTGAGAGATCCAGGGGACAGCTGCGGGGAGGTGGGAGGGCAGAATGACACCCTGTGGGGCAGCTGGAGGGTTTCCTTCATTTCCTTACCTGTGTCTTGGGGAGATGCAGCGTCTCTGAGTCGAGCCCCATCCAGGTCCCCCACACAACTCCTGCAGCTCGCCCGGACTGGCTCAGTCGGCAGCAGGAAGCCGTGTGCGTGCTTGTATCTGGGAGGGTGAGCAATGGGGGGAACCCACAGGATGTAGCTGGGTCCGTTCACTTCTGCAAAGCCTGAAAGGCCTCCAATGGCGATTGCTCCATGTAGCTGTTACGTGAATCACAAACTCATGGCCGGGGAGGGTGGGGGGGTG